TGTGATTCACATTTTATAGAAATGATACTGTGATTCACATTTTATAGAAATGATGTTGTGATGCTAATTTTATAGAAATTATACCGTGGTTCACACTTTATAGAATTGACATTGTGATGCTAATTTTATAGAAATGATACTGTGATTCACATTTTATAGAAATGACATTGTGATGCTAATTTTATAGAAATTATACCGTGGTTTACACTTTATAGAAATGACATTGTGATGCTAATTTTATAGAAATGATACCGTGGTTCACACTTTATAGAAATGACATTGTGATGCTAATTTTATAGAAATGATACCGTGGTTCACACTTTATAGAAATGACATTGTGATGCTAATTTTATAGAAATGATACCGTGGTTCACACTTTATAGAAATGACATTGTGATGCTAATTTTATAGAAATGATACTGTGATTCACATTTAATAGAAATGACATTGTGATGCTAATTTTATAGAAACGATACTGTGATTCACACTTTATAGAAATGACATTGTGATGCTAATTTTATAGAAATGATACCGTGGTTCACATGTTATAGAAATGACATTGTGATTCACATGTTATAGAAATGACATTGTGATGCTAATTTTATAGAAACGATACTGTGATTCACATGTTATAGAAATGATATTGTGATGCTCGTTTTATCGAACTAGTGTAAAGCTGTGAAACTCTTCCTACTGAACTCGTATAATCGAAGCTAATGTCAACAGACATTATAACAACGAACCTCATTCCTACAAAATGGTTATAGCCCTTAGGCTCAGTTTTATCAAATCGATATATCTGTGAGCATCAATTGTCAAAGTCGAGATATACTCAGTCAAAATATTCAAGTCAGGTGCTAAAGGGCATACCCACATTTAAAACAGCTGAAATGTGCAACTCACCAACTTGGGCAACAAAATGTAAGGGACCGTTCATAATTTATGGCTAGGATGGGGTGGGGGTGATGATGATGATTTTAAGGGGGTCACTCATTTGTTCTGGCGAGGAGGGGGATTCAGCAATTTTGTACACATGTACTAGGGGGTCAGCAATTTTGTACATTAAAATACTACAACTTTATGCTTTAAAAATATGGGAAAAATTGATTTTGTACATGATATGCAAGGGGGGGTCACTTACTTTGAACGTAAATTTTAGGGGGGGTCATTCACATTGTACATGCTTCTGAATAAAAATCATCATCACCCCCCCTTGCCATAAATTATGAACGGTCCCTAAGCTGAAAATTAACGTCATGGACTGATCTTTCGGTGCACGTGATCTAGGTGATGGAATAGTAAAACTATCCACGGTATGTCCGATAGCTGCACTTAATTGATTACTTTTCTCACAAAAGTTACAGTAAGACATATTATTTGTTGTATAAAAGCAGTATCAAATGGCATGACATTATGGAGTGTCCTCTAATCCCGCGTCAACACGGGACTATCCGTATGCACAATCCCCAGTCCCATCTGTCGTTGAGTTATCTGTCTCTGGTGGACCACAGGGCGCCTAGCGACAGAGCGGACAGCCTACTTGCCACTCCCAGCGAAATTCTAGATGTACTTGACAAACATTGAAAGAATAAATCTTCCCCTGTTGAAAAACTGCTCTGTTGTCCCTGCTGTTGGATTACCTACAACTTGCGCTGAGCAGGTCGAGTTTTTTCTTTGAGAAATTTATGAGTTTGGTAACCGTGTCTTCCCATTCATTTCAGCGCGTCAGGGCTAGTCAACAGAATACGGGCATATATCATCGCAAACATTTCTGACGTTTACGCCATCTAAATAGGTTTTGGCTCTGATTGTGCGAAAGAAAATTCCAAAAGATTTCGCAGCATATCAATTACTTCTGTAAAGTTCAGCAGAAACGATGAGAGGTCGCGATGTTGTAGTCGCCGATTGCAATCACTTCGCCAAACACGTATACGTATATGAATGAACGCCTTCATTATTTCATCATTTGGGTTTTTATCTAAAAATACATATAATTTGGTGAAGTTAAAAGCCGTACTCATATCTATATACTGTCCTATGTTACAGATTACATCTCTGTGCTGTAATATTCAAAGGATAACTCCATCTCATTATTTCTCCGAATGCCAGTGCAATGTTATTTGCTTGGAAACCCGTCGTATCTTCTTTACAACCGGCACACAATCTTTTGCATTAATCATAGGAGTGAGCCAAAAAATATTGATATATGAATGAAACCGGGCTGTTGAAACATAAATTAATAGTTGACGGTTTATAAGTGCGAGAGGTTTATCAGCTGAGCTGTAGCCGCAAAAAATGTTATCTCACATTGTGTTTGTAAAGCTGTTATTTAAGGTGTGTGTAAATTGGTTCCATTACATATAGCACTGATGGCGTTCTACTTGTTTTCAAACAATGGTAACTGCAAACATTTCCAATGTTATCAGCATCCGAGTATTCATTATACAACTTTCCATCACGACAATTGAAAATAACAACACGATTATCTTCAGTGCCCACAGCGTTTGTATGGTTGGTTCAGGAAAATGTTCCGAATCATCCCCGCGTTACTACTATCACCGCATCAGCTAATAAATTTAATGTGGACCCTGTTTAGGACATTTGATAATTCCAGCATCCAAAGTTTAAAACCTAAAATCGAGAATCCATAAACAGATTCCGATGCCTCTGATAATCCTTGAAAATAATATAAATTTTTATCATAGGCATAATGCACTAGTTAACATCACACATACACACACATCATGTGGGGGATATATTTACTTATCCGTGGCGTTTGCAACGTCGAGATCCATTTTCATTTAATTATTTTCGATTAGTACTCAAAATCAACTCAGTGGAAAGGTTTTTCGTGTAAGTGCACATAATAAGGCTCTTAGACTAATGCCTCTGCGCTATTTGATATACTTCAAATATGAATGAAGTGCATTTCATTGCTTTGGTATTCACATTAAAAAATAGATGTCACTTTCATAAATTCTCTTAGTTCGTGAAGACATAAAGAGAAAGAAGAAAATGGTCAAATCGGGTACCGTTATATCGTCTAGATGCGTTCAATAAATTATCAATCTAAATATTTTTATATAAATTAATAGTTTTTCACGGCCTGAGTGTTGGGGTGATATACGCTGTGTTCATTACAGAACATGTGGTTTACAGAGCATGTACTGGGACAATCCCTAGTACTATGACCCTTTGAATTACTGTCTGGTGCCGACTAGTTAATAAGTATCTACAGTCCCACAGTCCATAGTGTATACATTGTATACATTGTACACATGTTTAAGTGAAAGATTTATCTGACACAGGATCATAAAGTTATATTTCTTCAATTTCGGGTCAGATACTAGTACATTTATACAACAGTTTCTGTTCTGAATTGAAGCTGGCCTTTACCACGCTTAACGTATTGGTTGACATGGCTATCAAATATATAATTTTGTCAAGTTTAGATATTGATATTTTATCAAGCATTTCTGTTTCAAACGGAAGAAACACTTACACGAAATATCGTCAATTATTACATTATTCTTTTGTTTTGATGAAAATTCACGTCAGAATCCCAGCATTCCCAATAACAATGGACGCTTTACCTTTACAGCACGACACGGCAAAGTGTACCGGCAGAGCACCTTACAAGCGCTCTAACGGTTGAATCAACACACCCTCTCGTATGCTGTTTGTTTTGCAAATCCACCCTTGAAATATTCTTTTGTGCACTATTGACATTTGTTATTATAAACGTAATTATTCATCTGATAGAAAAATGAAAACAGCTCATTTTTAGACCCACAAGCCACCGTTATGATATTGTGCCACAAGGTTATCGCTTGGTTATCGTCCTGTTTAAAGTGTTTGATGTAAGACGTTGTCCGTTACAGGTTTATCTTGCGGCTTGATAATGTTTGGTTACGCAAACTGCGCACTTACTGCTTACTGTAATCTTATCTACTCCAACATGCCATTGCCTCTTCCCGTATATCGTTATTATTGAACCGATGTCACGCACACCTTCAATTGGGCTCATCTGATTACATCAGATACCCTCTTTGTTAATTTAGTTTGTCATTAAATATCAAGAAATATTTTTACATAAGCAGTTGCAATATCAACAAAGTAGTCAATGCTTGATTTAACGTTTTGGAAAATAATTTGGTCTTTGACTGGCAGGTAATCTAAGTAGATATCGACTTTACTTACAAAAACATACAAATATACATAAAAAACACAAAGAACATTAAAAAATGTATCTGGATTTCCTGTGGAGAAATTTGAGTTACAAATATATATAAAACATTATTTCTCGAATTTGTTAACAAAGAATGATCATGATATTCCACGACATGACAGAACAATGGAGGTGTAAGCTCCTTAAGTGCTGAATATGGACATAATATGAAGTACAAAACAGTATATACTTATCATCTGAACGACCAAAGTGTATAGGCATTGTGGAATTTCAACATCTAGTAGTCGTAAAATAAAAATAGATATCTATAGATGATATTTAGAAAGTCATTTCACTTGTAAAAGTCATTTCATCTAAACATAGAAAACTTAAATAGAGGGTACATTTGAAAAGAGAGTTTTTGTGAGAAAATTCAGCACTTCGGTTAATGTGAAACAAAATGAGATGAGCGTCATGGAATGAAACCGAAATGAAAGAACAGGCAAACTAAATACAAGGAGCAGCCGAGTAGCGGGCGGCCATGCAATAGCGAGGGACTTCTTCAGATGAAATAATACAGAGACCGACAGAAACCCAAACAATAGAACAAAGAGAGAAAGATTCAAAAGTGTATGTTGAGAAATAGCAAAGTACCAGAAGATGTCAGAAACTAAGGGTATTTCAGATTCGAGAAGGAGTTAAAGAAACGGGAACAGAAGGAAAAGGGAATATATTTTCATATTCCATGTTTGAGAATATGGCGAGAGATTGTCCACGCCTTAAGGTTAGGGGGTAGAGAAAAATACATATATACACAAATACATATACTTACGTTTGTTGTAGTTTTGTTGCTTGATGCAGAGGTCATTATCAACAGGAAACTTGTCGCATCGTAGCATTTCCGGCCAGTCGAACTTATAGTACTTCATTCTTACCAGGCATGCGTTTTTGACACTTTCACACAATGACCTACAGGGCCAAATTGTTCTTTCCAGGCACACGGGGGAAAACAGCGAACACAGGAACAGCTTAACATCCGGGTGGCAATGAATACCAAGAAGAGGTACCCAGGACCTAGATTGTTGGGTCACTTCGTTGAGGGTATCGTGGTCCAAGAGGTTTGGCAATCTCATACGTTTGTAGCCTATGTCTTGGCAAAGGGTTAGATTTGTGGGAATATCAATGCACTTTGGGGTGACCCCGATCCACTTTGGTGTCCAGTCTCGCGGGTAGTCCCCGTGAATGATGTAGCCATCGTTGTTGTATTCATCTCTGTAGTAGTTGTAGTCGTATTCCGACGCCGAGGCTAACGAAGCCAGGCAGACAAACACACTCAACCAAGCTTGGGGTTCCATCTCCATGGTGTGGTATCACTGTACACTTTCACAGTTACTCTTCCAGTGCCGTAGGTTAGCGGTTAGCGTCTAGTTGGATATAACAACGGCTTTTGAATACGTTAACGGCCATAAGAGGCCCCTACACCTCCAGTAGAAGTCAGGGTGCCTGGCACGATGCACGATACCTCCTACACTCCACTTGTAGCTCCCCTCGACTCGAGACACAAGCACAATCCGAGCCCACCCGAATTGCTTAACAAATTATGACACGATAAGAGCGGCCTCCGTCCAATTATCGGAGTGGTCTACACAGCAAGGTCCCAGCACATGTGTTGTCACTTGGTCGTAATTGCAGGGTAGCAAGATGGGTCACTCTGAGTACTTTGGTGCAGTCCCTTCACACGTGTCGACTGAAAGACGTTATGCATAACATGTAGGGCTACACCATCCCGAGCCTCCGGATGCGACGGTCAGTGGTTCGCGTTTGTTGTAACTATTGTCAAGTCTAGCTAGACACAAACACAGGAATGATGAGACTTCCACAGTTCATTATTTGTCAGGATCCACAGAAAGGGAGCTCTGCCATGGCTAGGTAGCGAGTCCTACTCCATGCGAGTTTCCGTCGTCGTCTGAAACTCCAAACTACTCGTGTAGCCGTCTGCTTCCACGGAGACCCTTCCACTCAAATCCACTCCACAGACACTGCAATTCAAACCAATTCAATTAATTCAAGATTTAAATTGAAGACTCACACAAAATATGCGGCTTTTTAAAAGACGACATATGAAATTACCATGTACAAAGCGTGGAAGATGAGAAAATAAAACAGCTATTGAATGTATCCTGTGTCTAGTGACAAGGCTGTCGCCGGCCGAGACAGTACCTCTGACACACTGACAAGATAGTGTTCGATGCTATATACACTACACTCTTACCCATACCCAAAACACACCACGTCTATTTCAGACAAACACACCCACAAAGGTCCACAGGCCTGTCACTCAAGCTTGTCTGGATTGGTTTACCAGGACCCCTCAAGTGCCACTCATTCGCCGCCCCGCCTCTCATCGAGGACTGAGCTTTTACAAAGGTAGGGATCACTATCCGAGGTATTTGAATGCGGATTTCCAACTGACAGTCTCCAAATCCCTTCATTCGAGTGGGCGGCGAAAGATTAGAAAAATAACGAGCATCATTTAACGCTAGACACATGGATGGCTGCCGGGGCTTACCGTCGGTAGGTGACATACCAGCGGGTTCCAGTGAGGCAGACGATACACTACTGGGGTTACCCTGTCTGTGGATTTGCAATATACCACTGTCAGAGATTACAGGCATACGGACATGAGAGAACGAATTTGTCTGCTTTGCGAGAAGACTGCGGCGGAAGACGCTCTGGCGTGCTCCTATCAATAACCCCGACTTATGCACAAACACAATCGTTAGACTTATGTATCCTGACGAAAAGAGTTCATAGGGAGAGCTGAAGACTCCCGGCAAAACGTTGTAGTAAAATCATACACATCTGAAACATTCGGTTTACATTACAGGGAAAAGTTGCATGTTTAATTACACACCGATATATACATACGGTTCTCTGGTAAATATAAACTATAACACCCTTTCCACTACCATAGACCACTATATATGTTCTCCGGTAAATATAAACGATAAAACCCTTTCCACAACCATAGACCACTATATATATTTTCTGGTAGATATAAACGATAAAACCCTTTCCACAACCACAGACCACTATATACGTTCTCCGGTACATATAAACGATAAAACCCTTTCCACAACCACAGACCACTATAGATGTTCTCCGGTAAATATAAAAGATAAAACCCTTTCCACAACCATAGACCACTATAGATGTTCTCCGGTACATATAAACGATAAAACCCTTTCCATAACAAATACCACACCGACCACTATATTGTCTTCTCCGGTAAATATCTATCCAACTTCTAAAATGCCTTTCCACAACCACTAGACCACTATAGATGTTCTCCGGTAAATATAAACGATAAGACCCTTTCCACACCATAGACCACTATATATATTCTCCGGTAAATATATACGATAAAACCCTTTCCACATCCGTAAGAAATTTATCAAACGATACGTTGGGGAAATGGTCAACAGTCCGCTAGTATTAAGTTATCAGATGTTGTTACATACGCTTTTAGATATTTGATAGTCTCGTTCACTTGATGATAATGATAATGGGGATTTGTAGTGACTTAATGATAATGATAATGGGATTTTGTAGAGCGCCAAATCCATCCGTAATCGTTCTCAAAACGCTGCCATTATTACGCCGGTCAATGGTTAGTGGACTATACAACCAATTTGTAACCATCTCTTCCTACCGGGTACCCATTTATATGCCTCAGGTCACACCACGTGCTACATGTGCCTATCAATCTGCTATTGTCAGTGTTATCGTATCGTTTTGATAACGTGTAGATCATCTGTGCTATACTGTGAAATATATTGTTTGTGTAAGTATGTAAGAGTTATTACGATCAGCGAGTGAATGTATGACGGCGGGGTGTAAATGTAACTATGTAATCGTACCTACTGACTGTCTGTAACCGTAGCACAAAGACAACCTGTGTTGAACAGAACCCCGTTGCACAAAAGTACCTCAGTGCTATAGCTGAAACAATTGCGATGCCACGTAAAACTTAAATCAAATCAACTCAACTCAGATAAGGTGATAGTAACTCCCATACTTTAGCCATATGTGACCAGGGAAGGTAACTCTGTACATTCAATTTGTCATTCACCGAATAGAATATAGATAAGTTGAAAAGCTGCATGTTTTGAGAAAAGCTGAAACTGTTATTCGTGAATAAATACTTTCGACTGAAATGTAAATATTTCAAACATAAATGCGGATGTGGTTAGAGGTAATTATCCTGATGGAAACAAATATGGAAACATGTGTATGGGAATGAGTATTTATTCTTTTCCCGGTTTCTTTGGATCTTGCGGAGGGGAATGCTGATAGAAATCTGGGAATCACTACCATCAGTATAGTTCCCTGTTGCGCAAATGCTGCTTCTCAGTGTTGTACGTCTTCATATACGACATTGACCGTGGAGTAGCCTAGTGGTTAAAGCGTTCGTACGACACGCCGAAAACCCGTGTTCGATTCCCCACATGAGTAAAATGTGCCCGAGTTATTGCGGAAATATTGTTAAAAGCGTCGTAAAATCCAACTCACTCACTCACTCACGGCAACTGATGCTCTCCATACACAACACAGAAATTATACGCAGCATCCAGATGCTCTTACTCGATCATCTCATATGTGTTTGGGATGGCCAGGAATCCCAAGGTATGAACCCTATTACACGAGACAAAGGGAAATCTCTTAAGCCTGTCAAAAGGGGAAATTGCAGCGTTGTGTACAATTACAGGTGAGATTCAACGCTTGACAGAGACGTTTGTGCCTGAGGCTTCTGAACCCACGTGAACTGCACCTCGTGACCTTTAGCACGTAACAAGTACCTGCCAACCATATTATGAACAGTTAGTTTAGCAGGGTAGGAACGCGGTGTGTATGGGAAGGGTTTGTGGTATATAGACCATCGCGGAGTATGCCACGCAGGGGGACAGAAAACTCACAGATCTGGCGTGTACTGGTGTCAGTGACACACACATGTCTCGTGGGAGCACGTACTACATATATCTAGGGCTTGTACAGGCGTAGATGTTTGTATGGGGTTCGTTAACACGTGGACACATGTAACAGGTAGACTTTATGTGTGGGAACACAGGTAACATGTACATATAACTTGTACGGAAACAGGTAACATGTACATATAACTTGTACGGAAACAGGTGGCACGATATAGAGATTCAAGGTAGCATGTAAATAGGACTTGTGCGAAGACAGGTAACACGTAAGATGTGCTTTGTGCTAACACAAATAACACTTAGATATGACGTGTACGAACACACGTAACACCTTGATATGACTTGTCGAACACAGGTAACACGTAGATATGACTTGGTCGAACACAGGTAACACTTAGATATGATTTGGTCGAACACAAGTAACACTTAGATATGACTTGGTCGAACACAGGTAACAAGTAGATATGTCTTGTACAGGTAACACGTAGATATGACTTGTACAGGTAACAGGTAGATATGTCTTGTACAGGTAACAAGTAGATATGACTTGTACAGGTAACACGTAGATATGACTTGCGCTGACAGATGTAACACGTACATATGACTTGTACAGGTAACACGTAGATATGACTTGTACAGGTAACACAGGTAACACGTAGATATGACTTGTACAGGTAACACGTAGATATGACTTGTACAGGTAACAAGTAGATATGACTTGTACAGGTAACACGTAGATATGACTTGTAAGGTAACACAGGTAACACGTAGATATGACTTGTACAGGTAACACAGGTAACACGTAGATATGACTTGTACAGGTAACACGTAGATATGACTTGTACAGGTAACAGGTAGATATGTCTTGTACAGGTAACAAGTAAATATGACTTGTACTGGTAACACGTAGATATGACTTGCGCTAACAGATGTAACACGTAGATATGACTTGTACAGGTAACACGTAGATATGACTTGTACTGGTAACACGTAGATATGACTTGTACAGGTAACACGTAGATATGACTTGTACAGGTAACACAGGTAACACGTAGATATGACTTGTACAGGTAACACGTAGATATGACTTGTACAGGTAACACGTAGATATGACTTGTACAGGTAACACGTAGATATGACTTGTACAGGTAACACGTAGATATGACTTGTACAGGTAACACGTAGATATGACTTGTACAGGTAACACAGGTAACACGTAGATATGACTTGTACAGGTAACACGTAGATATGACTTGTTCAGGTAACACAGGTAACACGTAGATATGACTTGTACAGGTAACACGTTGATACTACTTGTACAGGTAACACGTAGATATGACTTGTGCGAACACAGGTAACAAGTAGATATGACTTGTACGAACACAGGTAACACGTATCAACACTTACATATGACACCTGTTCTTGGCTTGTTAGGATACAGGTAACATCAACATAAGGGGTTTCCATATATATGGACAATGGTTAAATCTATATGACTAGTGCGGGTACCGGCTATACGTCGATTTGTAGGGCACCAGTAACACCTATATAAGACTTTTTCGGGCACCTGTAACATGTAAATAAGACCTGTAAGTACACAGGTAACACCTACAATAAACAGACACAGATAAGACTTAGACATGATTTGTACGGACGAAAGGAAGACTGAGCTATGAATTTTACGGGCACATCAATAAATGACCAATAAAATTGCAGTCTACATGTTGTTCAAATATAGCCGTCTTTTATTGCAAACACGCCATAAAGGTTGTTGATGGCATTTACACTGATACACATAATGGGTGAAAATGTTTGGATGTCAGCTCCGTAATATGAGTGAGTAAGTGAGTTTAGTTTTACGCCGCAATCAGCAATATTCCAGCTATATGGCGTCGGTCTGTAAATAATTGAATCTGGACCAGACAATCCAGTGATCAACAGCATGAGCATCGAACTGCGCAATTGGGAACCGATGACATGTGTCAACCAGGCCAGCGAGCCTGACCACCCGATCCCGTTAGTCGCCTCTTTCTGAAGATCAATATTCTAAC